GGGAAATCCAGCACCTGGTTCCCAGCAGGATGCTCAGTGGGGGACCTGGGGACCCCTCTGCCCTCCGTATTCAGTGCCATGTGGGGTCTTCATGTCCTACTCACTTCTCCTAGGTGGAGAATTTTTCTTCTTTTCTTTTCTTTTTTTCTTTTTTGAGTGAGGGTCTCACTCTATCACCCAGACTGGAACGCAGTGGCATGATCACAGCTTACTGCAGCCTCGACCTCCTAGGCTCAAGCAATCCTTCCATCTCAGCCTCCCAAGTAGCCGGGACCACAGGCATACACCACCATGCCCGGCTAATTTTATTTTATTTTATTTTATTTTATTATTTTACTTTATTTTATTTTTTTGAGTTGGAATCTCACTCTGTCACCCAGACTGGAGTTCAGTGGCCGCTCCTAGCCACCGCAGCCTCGACCTGCTGGGCTCCAGCAATCCTTCTGCCTCAGCCTTCCAAGTAACTGGAATTATAGGCATGCGCTACCACACCCGGCTAGTTTTTTTGATTTATTGTAGAGATGAGGTCTCGCCTGCCCAGCCGGGTCTCGAACCGGCAGGCTCAGGCAATCCACTCACCTCAGCCTCCCAAAGGCGCGGGATTACAGGCTGAGCCACTGAGCCAGGCTTATTTTATTTTTATTTATTTCTTTATTTATTGTACAGATGAGGTCCCACTATATTGCCCAAGCTCATCTCAAACTCCTGGGCTCAAGCAATCCTCTCACTTCAACCACCCAAAGTGCTGGGATTACAGGCATGAGCCACCACACCTGACCAAAATTTTTTTTTTTTACATAATCACCTTATATTAAGGTCTGAGTTGGCCTCTTCCCCTAACTGTTCACACAGTCTTGGAACAAGAAGACAGCATAGTTAAGATTACAGGCTTTGGGGTCTGATACATTTGGGTTCAAATTCTGACTCTTCTACTCAGTAGCTGGCTTAGTCTGTTCAGGCTGCTTTAACAAAATATGATAGACTGGGTGGCTTTATAATCCATAAAAATTTACTTCTCACAGTTCTGGAAGCAGAGAAGTTCAAGATCAAGGCAGACCCGGTGTCTGGTGAGGATTCGCTTCCTGGTTCATAAATGACTGTCTTTTCGCTATAACCTCACAAGATAGAAAGGGCCAGGGATCATTCTGGAGCCTCTTTTATAAATGCACTAATCCTATTCACAAGGGCTCTGCCTTCCTGACCCACTCACCTCCCAGCGGCCCCACCTCCTAATACCCTCATATTGATGATTAGATGTCAACATATGGATTTTGGGAAACACAAACACGCAGTCTATAGCAGTAATTATGAGACCTCAAACGAGATCCTTAGCCATTCTGAGCCCCAGTTTCCTCATTATTCAGTGAGAATAATAATAGTATAGTACTTACATCCCAGCGTTGTTGTGAAGACCGAATGAGATAATATTCATGTAAATAGCATAGCACAGGGTCATTGGAAGCAAGCAATAATTGGCAGGCATTATTATTACTATTATTGGGGGGGCAGAGTCATCGAGAGAAAGGAGCCCAGGAAGGAGTGAGTGAGCTTGTTAGCAGCCTTCCTGATCCCCAGAAAACTTTTCAAGTCGTGGAGAAGGAAGATGTAGGGAAAGGATAATGTGTTTGTCTTTCTTAACCACAAGTTGATCCATATCTTTTCTCTTTGGACCTAATCCGGGCACTCAGCCCTGGCCGCTGGTGCTCAGATGTTACAACAGGCCCCGGCAGCCACAGGCTGAGAGATAACCGGGAAGTGCCTGCCCCACCCTACGTGACCGCCTTAATGCCCTCCCAGACCATGCTGGTTGGCCAATGCCTCAGAGCCTTCAGGGCTCCCAGAGCCATTTCCTGTGGTGAAATGTCTGTTCTTGGTGCCTTTTCCAGAGCTCCTGTCCAATTTGTAGACTGGCAGTGCCCAGACAACTCCCTCAACCAGAAAGTCTATGCCAGGAGTCAAGGCTCTCCAGAGGAGGCTATGCCCAGTGCCCACCTGCACTCAGCACAGCAACCTGGGAAGGGGGCCAGAGGGTGGCACGTGGACGCTGGAGGAGACACTGTCCCCAGACTGCTTCTGACACTCTCTATGCTGTTTTTATGTTGTTTTTTTTTTTATGTTTTATGTTTTTTTTATGTTTTATGTTTTGGCCTCTCCTCCTGGGCAGGGTTGAGCTGGGCGTGAATCAGAGTAGAACAGAGAAAAAGGAGAGTCACTTACAGGAACTAATTGCCCAGGACCTACCCTACATGTCCCAGCGGTCCTAATGTGCAGGGGTGGGGGTTCCTTCAACCCGGTGCCACTGAACCATGTGTACGTAAGACGGAAGTACTAAAACTGGGCACTGTGAGAGGTCCCCTAGTCTAGTCTTGTATCCATCCAGTGTAGGAATGTTTTCTCTAGCCTTGCTGATAGTTATTCTTGAATACCTCCAATGATGGGGGATTTATTACCTTCTTGGTAAGAATAATTTGAGCCTCTGCTTCTCTTGAGGCCCCAAGTCCCCCTGCAGCTCCCCAGGGTGGGAGGAAGCCAGGGTTTTCTAGGGTTACTCCTATAGTATGGGGATGAGACTTGACCAGTAACCATTCTGGGATGCCTACGCCTGGATTCAAACCAAATTAAACACCGGTTCGTTTCTGATCATATTCTAATAATCACACTTGATTACAATACAGTTTAAAAGTCCTGCTTATAGACCAAAAGGTCTATAAGTCATTGGTATCAAAGACAATAATTCGTATGTGCATCCATGAATTAATAAAAATAATTTAGGGTGTTGATTCTTGGTTAGACAACATAATACATCTCATTCTAGCTTTGGTTCATCGTTCATTTCAAATCCTCCCAACCCCCCACGCATAGCACTCTTATGTCTACAGATTGAAGCGCAGCACAATCTACTTCTTGAAGCCACATTCAGTCAGTGTGCCTATGTCCCTGGAAAACCTATCTGTGGGGATAGCCATACTGGTATCACCTGCCCTCTTCCCATGACCCCCTAATTCTAGGCTCAGCAGTCAGCTTCCTGGGTGGCCACAGGAGGTCAGGATTTGTCTAAGAGGGTCAGAGCTACAGTGTTGTCTGATCAGATGAAAGAGAAAGCATCTTCTTTGGAAAGACAGAGAGGAGGAGGGAGAGACAGAGTGAGGAAAGGAGAACAGGGACTAAATGTAAGAGTGAGTGTTGGGGAGGTGGCAGCCAGGACCTGTGGTTAGCCGCCACAGCGTCCATACCTCTCTCCATAGCACACAGGGCCAGTGTCTCCACCTGGCACCATGCCTGCCCTAGGGAAACTGAGGGCGCTGGGTTGTGGCACAGCCAGACAGGGTGTAGACCTGTGTGGGGCTGGTGGCTTCCCATGGGTTACCTGTGCTCTATTTGCTGGGAGCCTTAGAGTAAACTGTGTGTAAGCAATAGAGCCCATAATGTGAATGATTTAGCCATAAATAGCACTCTTACCTCTACAGATTCAGCAAACAAAAATGATACATGGCAATAGTGATCTCAATAACTGAAGTTTGACGTGCCCAATCATGATTTAAAACAAAAAAACAAAAAAACAACCCCCTCACTGTCCTTGGTCCCTGCCCTGTGACACTGGCAGTGGAGGGCAGCCATTCCGGGTCCAGATGTACTGAATGTCCAAGTCATAATCCCCTCCTGGTTTAGCCACAGCCATCGCTGGGGGCCCAAGGCAAGGACAGCAAGGGTCTTTCCACTCCCTTGTTTGGGGAAGAGACAGTCAGGTGACCCCTGACCCTTCCCCCAACAGAGAACCCACCTCTACTCCAAAGAAACAGGGCAAAGGGCAGCCAGGGCGAGCCACTTGTAATGGCCACCCTGATCCGGCCAGGCACAACCAGCGGATGCCGACTCTGAAACAAAAATACAGGCAGAGGCTCCCGAAGCGGCCCCAGCTTCTCATTTGGGTTGCGATGGCCGGAAGCTTTCTCTCCCCCAGGTCTCCTTCCCCAGAGCCCCGAGGCTACAGGGTTCTCAGGACTGAGCCAGGTCTGCAGGGGAATTGGAATGGAAGCCCGGCCTTCCTGCCTGCGCCAGGGGGCTGACCCAGGGCAGAGGGGACAGACCGCCAAGGTGCCGACTTTTAGACCTCCAGCGTGGGCTCTCCAGGAGGCGCGGGTGGGCGCACGCCGCCCCTCTAGGGTCCGCGGCTCCAGAGCGTATCTGCAATGCAAATTCACGAGTTAATGCCACACCCCCGGCGCTCACCGAGCGGACACTCCTGGCAGGTCGTCAGGCCGAGGCCGATCGGTTGCGGGGAAAAGGTCGGGCGGGGGGCGCCTCTCGGCCGCTTTTCCCAGGCTCTGGGTTCGCCGCGTCCTACCTGAGGCCACACCCCGAAATCAAACTCGCGGCCAGGTGAAGCCGGCGCTGCACCAGCGTGTAAGCGCGGCCCCTCCTCGTCCTTCCCCGCGCCGAGGTCCCTCCCGCGGAGGGCGGGCCCGGCTCCCCCGGCCTCTCCGAGCGCCCCCGGGCTTCCCGCTCGGCAGGTGGGTGCCCGGCGCCCCGGAAGACCCGCGGAGGGCCAGGGCGGCGAGCAGGAGCCGGCTCCACCCCGCACGCGCGGCCCCCTCCCCGGATTTTCATTCCCCGAAGTTCGGGACTCGCCGGCGCGGGGCGGGGGCCTCGGGCGCAGGCACCGGGAGCCGGGCGCCCTGGAGTCGGGCCCGCCCGTGTGCCTGCCCGCCAGGGGGGTTCGCATCCCCGAGAGGGGCCCGCTGGAGTTGCGAGCGGGGGCCGGTGGTCGTGCCGGGTCGGGGCACCGCGGGGAGGGGCCGGCCGGAAGCTGCCCCGCGCCCGGTGTCCCCTCCTCCCGTGCGCCCCGCGGGGAGGCCGCCGCCGCCCCTTGCGCCTGAGACAGTGCTCCGTGGGGAGGCGGCGAGGGGCGGTTCCCGACGCCCTGGACTCCAGCCAGTCGCAGAATCCGCGGGACACTTGCTACATTTGTCACAATTTGGTTCTGATATATTTCCGCCCAGGCCTGCGGAGGACTGGCCCGGGGAGGCCCTTGGTCTTCCCTGTCCTCAGCGCCTAAGAGAGCTGCCCGCCGAAGGCTGAGGAGTCTCGAGGAAGAGGAGGCGGCCAGAGGAAGGCGCCGGAGGCGGTGAGTGAAGGACCTCCAGCCCTACAGCTTTCTCCAGACTTTCTTGAGGGACAGGCTGGGACAGACAGTGGCAGGCAGGTGGCCCTGCCGGGCTGGTTCCTTCCTCGTACGTACTGCCAGGCAGCGGCAGTGATCCCTTCTGGGTGCCATTTCTCAATCCCTGGTGGGTGCCTGTTAAGTGACTGCCACCACCTCAGCCCCATGGAAGGCCCGGCAGGGCTTCAAATAGCCCGCCCTGCCCCCCAGCCCATCCTCTGATTGTCATCAGGCCTAATTCCTGTCTGGGGCGAGGGTGGCGCCAAGGTGGAGTGCACCGAATCCACGCTGGGCAAGAGCTTCCCAGACAGGAGGGTAGTGGCAGTCCCAGCGCGTGTGCCCAGCAGGCAGGAGAAGCCCAGGCCGAGGTGTCTGCTGCTCACATCCCAATCCACCTGTCCTTCTCCAGATCTCTACGCCTGCTACAATCGCTCCAGCCCTTCTACACCCAGTAAGGGGCGCCCAGTCTGGAATGTAGGTGCTTCCAGGAACCCCAAGGGCTAAGCCCTGAGGAGTTCCCAGGGTGTAGGCTGCGTTTACTGTATCTTGCCCTATTCTGGTGTGTTTTCCAGGCTCCTCTGACTTGTTTTTCTGGATGAGGGGAGGGGCTCAGATCTATGTCTGTGCTCATTTTTGGTGGCGGTGCAGCATGTATTGCAAGGCTGTGAATTCTCCTCCAGCCATGGCATGTGGGGCAGTGGCTGAGAACACAGCATTTGGAACCAGAAAGGCTAGTTGGAATCCGGCCTTTGCCCTTAACTCCTGAGACAACTTGCTTTACGTCTCTCCAAACTTTTTAATGTTGTCATCTGTGAAATAGGGATGATCGTGCTTTTCTCATAGGATAATTGTGAGGAGTAACTGTAATGATAAGTGTTGAACAGCTCCGGCAGTGGGCCACCTCACTAGCCTCCAGCTGTTCATAGTGAAAAAGGTGGCTAAATCCTAGCACTTTGGGAGGCTGAGGTAGGAGGATTGCTTGAGTCCAGGGAGTCAAGGCTGCGGTGAGCTGTGATCATGCCACTGCATTACAGCCTGGGCAATAGGGTGAGATCCTGACTCAAAAAGAAGATTAGCCTACCCTGAGCTCTCCTCTCTTGGAGAACTTTGAGAACGGTCTGTTGTATTGGCAAGATATTGTTATAGATTATTAAAGCAAAACAATAGGAATAAAGTTAAGGCACGGTGTTCATGGAGGGCAAGTGTTCATTAAGAGACTCTAATTTAGGGTCTCTAGATGTTGTGGTGGCCTGGGGAAGGGCCTGTTTCTAGAAGGAGATCTGGCTTGGGTGGTAAAAACAGCAGTCCCCTCTATACATGTCACACATGTCCACATGTTCATGGTTGACCCTGAACACGCTGTTACTACAGGTGCTGCCTGGGGCAGAGGGAGCCTCTGGTTTAAAGCTTCTAGGTTTGTCTGTGCTCTGCGTAGCTGTGTGATCCAGGGCAGATCGTTTGACTTCTCTGGGCACTGGGCATGGTGGATGAGCTTGAAGCTTGGAGTCAGAGAGCTGTGGCTTTCAATCCTAGCTCTATACTTGACCATCTTGGACAATTACTTCTCTCTGAGTCTCAGTTTCTTTATCTGTAAGACAGAGCTCATAATAGCTATCATTGCCATTAAATGCACTGATAAAAAGCACCTAGCATGGTATTGACATGCGGTAGGCACTTTATACGTATGTATTTCCTTTCTCACCGCCTCCTTCTTCTCCCCAGTCACCAACTGTCTTTAAAATGGGTCCAGTAAAGCAGCTTCAGCTCAGCTCATAGAGGTCTTGTGAACTGAGGAGGTGAAAAAAATAGCAATCTGGAAAGTTAAGGGCTGTAGAAACAAGGCAATCTTGTGATTAGGGATGTCAGAAGTTCCTTCCAACTAGGCTTTGTGGACCCTGTGCTGAGGATTCAGGCCTCTGCATGCAGGAGCTATTGAAAATCTGGGGAGGGGTGAGAAGGTCCCTGGCCGGCAGCCCTCCCAGGAAGGCCATTCTTCAAGTCTTCCCTTGGAGATAACCCCATGCCCAGAAAAACCCAGCGCTGTGCACCGGGAGGGGGAGGAGCAAAAGTATTCTAGGTACAGTAAGTGGAGGTCAGAGAGCTGGTCTGCCTTGAGCTGCTGCTGGACCACCGCACTGTCTGTGCTGGCTGGAGCTGGGCCCACGAGGAGGGCCTGAGTCAATATTGACCTTCCTGGGCTGGCTAGCCTGGCTCTTTGGCCTCTCATTCAGCTGGAGTGTTGACATAAGTGACTGAATGAGCTTTATTAGCGTATTCTTTTAAACAACGGCCCATTATCTCTCTCCACTGGGGATTCACTGGGGCCTGTGGTATGGTCACAAAGGCAGGGAACCCAGACATTTTGGCTTGTCACATGGGCAGTGCCCTCTTCCCTGGCACATACCACATCTCTGTGTGTCCCTCGAGTTGAACAGCAGAACCTCGGGGTGCTGCTTGACCTCCTAGGGACTCTCCACGCCTCAGCGCAGCAGCCCTGGGCAGGTGGCACAAAGCTTGTGGGCAGTGAGGGTGAGGACCCTAGTCTGGAGCTGGGACCTTCCTTCCCTGCAGGTGACAACTGGGCAGAAAAGCAGATGAAGCTTCCAAACTTCCTTTCCCCTGGTGTATTTTGGGGAAGGATGGGGTGCTGCCTCCTGTGTCATGGGATGCGAGCAGATGGCAGGCCCAGAACCCTGGTGGAGGCTGCAGTGAGACAGAGTTCAGTTCCACAGGATGAGCAAGGGGACAGAAGGGACAGAAGGCAGGGGGGGTTGTGAGAGGAGCTTCCCATCGTTGAGCGCTTTTGAGCAGAGTGCGGGCATCCTCCTGTCGGGAATGCCACAGAGGGACTACAGTTTGGGCAGAGGGGAAGGGCACACCCCATAAGGAACTCCACAGAGGCTCCTGGCGGTGTAGCAGGTTGGCCTGCAGCAACATCTGTTTGGAAGAAGCAAGCTAAACCGCACAAGAGTGAGGGTTCTGTCTGGTTTTCCCTGGAGTAGAGTAGGGACATAATAGATACTTCTTGAATAAAGGAGTGAATAATATAATCTTATATTTAAACAAGCTCCAAGCCAGGCACGGTGTTTCGCGCCTGTAATTAGAGACTCAGGAAGCTGAGGCGGAGGATAGCTTGAGGTGAGGAGTTCAAGACCAGCTGAGCAACACAGTGAGACACTCCATCCATCTCTTAAAAAAAATATATTTAAATTAGCCAGGCATGGGGGCACCTACCTGTAATCCCAGCTACTCAGGAGGCTGAGGTGGCAGGATCACTTGAAGTTCGAGGAGTTTGAGGCTGAAGTGAGCCATAATTGTATCATTGCACTCTAGTCTGGACAACAGAGCAAAAGCCTGTCTCTTAAAAACAAAATTAAACAAAGGCCAGAAATTAAAGTTTGGGAAAAATCTTCCTGGCTAATAGATTGTTCCAAAGAAAGGTTGTCATCTGTTCTTGGTAATTCCCAACCATGGGCCAAGTGAGACAGACCTATCACTATAGAATGTATGTGGGGTGGCAGTTCCCAAAGGGATTGCAAAGAGGTCAAGCATCCCTGCTACAGATCTCAGAGTGTCAGGGCCCAGCTCTGGAGGTGATAGGGCCCTCTGAAGGCCACTCTGGATGGTGGTGGCAGTGGGGTACTTTTCTAAGTTCTATAGAACTCAGGGGGCTCCCCTTTATATTGGAGCTGTGATTCTGGGATAGGCCCTTCCCTAAAGTGTCTTGGGTGGGCCTGAGAATGACACAGGGTGGTGGGGGAGCCAATGGCTGACTGCAACCAACATTCCCAGAAGGGCCTGTCAGACTCAGGTCTGACCTTTATTTCCCGCTTGACTAGGGCAAATAACTTCATCTCTCTGAATATGGGTTTCCTCCTCTGCATAATGGAGACAGTTATAGTGCTATCTCACAGGCTTGTGACGAGGAGACCACATATGTGAAATGTTCAGCCCTGGGCCTAGTACTCATACTAGGTTCTCCCTGAGTGACGATTATTAAAAAATACTCAATTAGCCGGGTGTGGTAGTGCGCGCCTGTAGTTCCAGCTACTTGGGAGGCTGAGGCAGAAGGATCACCGGAGCCCAGCAGATCAACGCTAGGGTGGCCATAAGCATGCCACCGCACTCTGGCCAGGACGACAGAGTGAGACTCCAACTCAAAAAAAAAAAAATACTCAGAACTCTTCCATGAGCAAGAACAGATACTCCCCCTCACTGTGCCTGGAGCAGCTGGCAGAGGTGAATGTGTCCATTCCCTTGTCACCAGCAAAAATGTTGAGGCCTAGAGAAGAAGGAGAGTAGGCCAAGGTCACAAGCCAGGACTTAGGTACACCAAGCCCCAAGGTACACACTGAGCCAGTGCTCAGTCTTGTGGCCTGGGATGTGCACTCTGATAAGGAGGCCAAGTCTCCCTTTGAGGAGGCCTGGATGTGCCTCCCCCACTCTTGCTCCCAGTGCCACGAGTTGATGGCACAACGCTGTTCTGTGAACCAGAAGCCAACCCCAGTATGCAGCAACCTTCTGTCTTCCTAGTTGCCTGGAAATGGCAGGGAACCCCACCAGCCTCATCACTAGCAGTTCACCAACATCCCAGAACTTGCACAACCAACCAAATCCTGTCCCCTCAGAGTGGCTGCAAGCCCTATAGGCTCACTTTCTGGAAGCCACCTTCCCAGGCTCAGTGCAGTGTTGTGAAGTCCTTCATTGGGCTGGTGTCCTTTCCTTGAAAGGGACTCAATGTGTACAAAGAGCCAAACAGCCCAGCCATGTCTGCAGGGTCAGGTGGATGACCACATCGGATGCTGTCACTTCTGGCGAAAAGTAGACTGACAGGCTAGGAGGACAGCTGATGTCTACTCCTGTTGGCCCCAAAGTTGGTTCCTGAAGGGAATTCTGGAAAGGACAGATGCATTCCCAAGGGGTCTGCCTCAAGCAACAATGCTCACTTGAATGTCCGAGCTCTG